TTTTTTTTTTTTTTTTTTTTTTTTTTTTTTTTTTTTTTTTTTTTTTTTTTTTTTAGGTTTTCCGAGCTTTTAAGGAACTCTTCTTGGTGGATGGAAAACTTGAAATACTTGTCGAATGTATCATTGGTGTTATTTTTATGACGGGAACAACTATAAAATACATTCAAAATCTTTGCATGGAACACAAGGTATGCTGCATATTTAAAATAATTACATAATTTTTACTGATTTACAAAATAATATTTCAGTTACGGCACATTTACAAGCGTTTTACCAACGATTGGAAACAAATGGAAAATAAAAGGGAAAAAGAAGTTTTAAGAAAATCTTGGAAACTTGGTTATACATTTACGCTTATTTTTATAGGTGAATAAACTTTTTTAATTTAAAAGAGTAAAGTTGCATCTTAATCAACAGTTATAATATGCTACGCAGTGTATCTTATCCAAAACCTTATTATTTTTGTGACGATGCCTATAATGGGACCGAAAATATTCGACACAATAATTTCCACGAATGAATCACGACCCAAATTGTTCATTATATACACGGAGTATTTTGTAGATGAACAAGAATACTACTGGTATATATATGCCCACTCGTTCATTGTTAGTATTCTCGTAACATTTATCATAGCTGCTGCAGATACGATGTATGCTAACTGCGTCTGTCACTGTATTGGACTCTACGATGTTCTTAAGTAATATACTTTTGATATCATAAGATATGAAATAATCAAGCAATTAATGATTACATTCACACTGTTTTCATCTGTGAAATTTAACGCAATTTAGATATCGTATGGATCAAACATTCGAAATGACCCGTGATAAATTTAAATGTGATTCAAAATTTGAGGAAGAACGAATCCACGCCTACATTATCCAAACAATTAAACTCCATAACAAAACAATTGAGTTCCGTACCATTATAATATCATCAAAGTAATTATTTGAATTAATTCAACTGTATTTTTTTATTTATCAGATTTTTTTACCTTATTCGACACGCGTGGTCTGTGAGTAACTTGTTAAATATAACTTTGGTCGTCATAGAGTTGAGTATAGGAAGTGCAATGGTAAGTATTAAAACTTTATAAGTATTGTTCAGCCCATGGATGGATTTCTGCAGTAAATTGCAATATTTAAACTTACAGTTAACAAAACGAATACTCAATACTTTTGTGTACAGTCGCTATATCGTGATGTGGTTGGGGCATTTTATTTACCTGTTCTATACATGCTGGCCAGGGCAAAAATTGGTTGATAAAAATGTAGAGTTTTTTATGTCCCTGTAAGTTATAAACTATCATAAAAATAATAAATGATTTTGTAACTTAATTTTATTATTCTAAAATTCAGTTACTTTTGTGGTTGGTATAAATTACCCATCAAAACACGATATTTAATACATTTAATGATGATGCGCAGCTCAATTGCATGTCAGTTAACAGCTGGACCATTGATAAATTTAAACTTGGAGAATTTCGGTAAGGTACGTACGGACGAACTTTTAAAATTAAATATGTTTTTCATTGAGGGTTTTTTACTTAAAGATATTAAAAACAACTGTATCATATATTACTTTGGCAAGTACCATGTACAAAAAGTGAGAATGAGGATAATCGAAGAAGTAGCCGATGTATATTCCAAAGATAAACAGAATCTAGAAAATTTACGGATCATATGTATTAAATATAAATTATTTTATAAAATCAAAAAATATTTAGCATACCAGCAAAAAT